TGTGGAACTCCTGAAAAAAGCCCATGCACAGAGGCACCTTACATTCCTCACACATAAACCGAGTGTCTTTGCATCTTTGTTGCTGTCATTTTGTTTGTGCAAGACGATGCATCTCTTTGAGAAAATTTTCTTTTCTGAGTTGAAGGAAGCTGTTTTTATGAAATGATCACCTTCTCTCCTCAAACGCTTGGGTAATCCTGAGGAGTTCAAGGACCTTGTTGTTAGCAGGTGTTGTTACCTGGTACTTCATTATGAGTTGTCTGACAACAGACAAACAAAATTCACCATACGGGGGTCTGTTGCCAGTCTTTTTTTTTGGTACATATGTATATGCATTGAGCATTAAAGTGTCCATGAGATGGAAGAAAAGTTTCATGTACCACTTGTAACTTTTACGAACACAATCAACAAAGCCAATCTGCATGTCACATTTGTCAACCAAAGGCGCATGTTTTGTGTATATCAATAAACTGCATGGTTTTCGAATACGTTCATTAGTCACTCGATCAACTTTGCCACTGTCTTGCATTTCATTACGGTGAATGGTTGTCAACAATGTGACATCTCGTTTGTCATGCCACCGTAATGCCATGATGTCATTGGCAGTAAACCCCCTGCCGTCTCATCACGAGCACCTGCCTTGAGCCTGGGGCATATGTTTACGATTAGAACGCACTGTTGCCACACACATCTGTCTTGTTCACCCCGAAAGAAATCACTGAGTAATGGGCTTGTGTACCAGTTATCGATATTACATATAATGTATGCCCTTACCAAGAAAAGGGCCATCATGCTTTCACTACATCCCCTGAGATACTCAATAACATTTTGGTATCTTTCAATGTTTTGCTTCCGTGTATACAACAATATCCAATACCAGGCCACTGTCACAGTCACAGAGTAAAAACCAGTTTTATACCAAAGCATTTCCTCTTGCTCGGTATATACTGCTTGAATGCAGCCTACCTTCGAACAAAATCAAAGACTCGTCAATTACAAGATTCTTGAATGGATAAAAGTACATGCTGAACTTTTGTTTGAGATACATAAAAACATTTCTAATCTTGTATAACCTGTCACTTCTGTCAGGCCTGGTTTTTCCAGGCCTGACAACAGTGAGATAAAAACCCGTTCACTGGGATGATTTCACTGAAGACTGGGGTAGAAATTAGCCGATCTGTGGCCCAGTATGCTTTTATATTATGCTTATAGACATGAGGCATAAGCATTATTGTTGCAAAAAGCAAATACATTTTTGCAACAGTCGTCTCTTTCTACAGGTGTAATCTTGACTGTGGTGATATGATCATATTTGCCATGGTGTACTCAAAATACTTATTACTTTCCCCGACAATAGTTTCCTCAATGGCTGGTCAAAGAATAGTTTTAGAGAATTCAGTTTTATTTGCAGTGTTTCCAAGGGAACAAGTTGGTAGAATTCCACTTTCAGAGTCATCAAAGTGGTGGGGCTTGGGAACAAAATTGGGATTTTGCTGCCAATCCCCGATACGGTTTGCTGGTGGATACTGGACATCATAGGCTGGTTGTGCGGGTAGTTGTGGTTGTGGTGGGCTGGTGGCTGATGCCCCTGCTTTGTCCTTAAACTGCAGAGTCACAGCGGGGTCCAGCCTGGGCTGGTGAGTCACGCATGGCCGTGGCACTACCATCACCACAATCCCATCTACTGATCCCTGTGGTCTATCCATGCCAAGTGTACCCAATATCCTACTATCACTATCCTATCTATACCTGGTGTAGGGCCAAGGATTACTCCGGGATTACCTGTCCCCTGAGCAGGGTTTTAGGGTACATCCCCGAGCGATGCGGGGATACATACGACGCTTCACTGGTGAATATGTTCCCTCACTATCACTATCGAATGATCGTCAAGAGCAAAAAAACACAACCACGTCATTTCCCAATCATTACTAAAGTCGAGGCGGCCACGCGAAAATAGTTTTCTCTTGGTTGAGATAAAAACCACCGTGAGGAAGAGGCCCACCCCAGAGGTAAAAGGTTGAGGTTTGTCGGGTTTTCGCACTATTATCGATTCCGGGTTTCCTTTTCGGTCACTAACTGATAAAAGCCAAAAAATTTGTCTTCTTTTCCCATTCCATCACTGTCAGAACATCAGAAGGAACGGGAGAGTCCAATTTTCCTTGGAGTGAGAGTCCTTGCGAGGGCAGGGTGAAAAAGGGGAGACCCGGCATTCCCACAATGCTAGGGGGCGGGCGCCTAATTTTTTGTTTATGGTGAAACCCCCACCCGCAGAAAACCTTCTCTCACATGTGGGCCCTTGAGCTTTTTTTTGCGCTAAATTTGACGGCGCTGAAATTTTTGGGGTAGATCTCGGTTTTTACACAAAGTAAGCCGTAGATTACGGGACGGACCCCGAAAGGGGTTTTTTTAAAAAAAAAAAAGCTAAAAAGAAAGGAAGGTAAATACAGTAGGCCCCACTTTTTTTTTCACTTTACGTTTCCCCTAAAAGGCATTTTAAATTTTACCAAAACTCAACATACGGTTCCCCTGTCTTTTAAAACAGTCACTGTAACCCATTTCTTTACTTCTTGTTAATTTCATGCCAATATATTACTGTGGGGGGTTGGGGAGGTGGGTTACCATTCCTACCCCCATATTTTTAAAATGAACACTACTCACTTTTCACCTACATTTAAAACTACAAATACAGTGGACCCCCCCCTTAAACGATCACCTCCAATGCGACCAAATTTTGTAAGTGTATTTTGTAAGTGCGTTTGTACGTGTATGTTTGGGGGGCTGAAATGGAAAAACTACTTCACAATATTTCCCTTTGGGGGAAAAAATTTGGGGGTACTGGACCTGAAATATAAGGAATGAAAAAAGTTCGTTTTTGCGGGGTCCACTGTATTTTGAGGCAAGTAGTGGTGTACGTTGTGTGTTTTCTTTTTTTTGTTTTTTTAAAGTCAGTTTATTCTACTTAATATTTGTTGTGTAAACTTTTTTATTTTGGGGGAAACACATGGCATTCCGCTTTTCCCGCGGGTACCTTGAACCAAAAATGCCATTAAAAAGGTGGGGCCCTACTGTACAGTGGTTGTCATTAAAGTTTGCTGGCATCCCCTCTCCAACCACGACCACAAAATATACAGTTCCTAGAAAAAAGAATAATGGACAAGAGCAAAGTAGAGCCAGATCTATTCAAATTTGTGAGAAACAAACTGTGAAGGGCAAAACACAAACAATTAAGGACACTGAATGGCAGGTGATATAGACCAGGGGTGGCCAAAATGGTGATAATGTTATACCAATGTGTTTGCCATTGTTCACCTAAGTAGGTACCTGGGTGTCAGAAGACTTGTGGGTCACATCCTGGGGCACAAGATTAACCTAAGTTGCTGGAAATGCTCTGCCTAACTAGGGGGCTTTCTATATACATAGTGGTAAGTCAGTGATGTCTGCTAGGTCTGTAATAGTTGTATCATGTAAGTGTAAATATAAAGATTATTATTATTATGATTGATGCACATGAGTGGTCCTCAGCCATCCAACAGCTTACCATTAAGAACATTTCCCTACTTATTCATGTGCCTACTACATACACAGAACAATACACGCAAATATAAACCCCCCACTCAAACTTTTCCTCACCAACCTAAACAGGACACATGACCACAACACAAGACACAGATCTCTTTTTGATATACCTCATGTCCATATCACACTGTATAAAAACTCTATGCACATAAAGGGCCCCAAAATATGGAATTCATTACCAGAAGATATTAAAGTAACCCAGTCTGAAAATCAATTTAAGACTCTTCTCAAAAGCCACTTAATCACCCTAGACTAAATGCTAAATACTCAGTACACACTTACTCACCTATGTACTCCCACATCATAACTGAAACAATCACATTGAGCCTTTTATCCATTGTTGACAGGAATATAATTGAATCATTGTTTTTCACAAAAGCATTTTAGAATATAAATACGTATATCTTTGTATTATACAAATTATGATTCATTTATAATTAATATTCTACTGTACAACTATGAAATAATTACTTGTACATGTACTTTCCTACTGTACAACTATGATATACTGCTCCTTAGTATTAAGTAGAATGAAAGCCAATAATGTTAAGTTGGTCCATAATGCCAAGGCATAATAGAGGTTCTCTTTGTATTGCAACCCACTGTTGTATATACACAATCTCAATGTACTGCTTGCAAAGACATTAAATAAATAAATAAATAAATAGGTCCAGTGTGGGGTGAGCCTTACCAACCAGCAGTGCAATAGATTGTCTCTTGGACAGAGTCTGAGCTAATAGTAGTCAGGGTCTATGAGGGTGGCTTTGCAGCCAATCAGCAATAGAGCTGAATGTCTGTGGTAGCATCTTAGCCAATAGCAGAGTTTGTCCTATAGTTTATTGCCTCCTCTTCAGTTTGAAGCTATAACATGTGTTACCTGCACTAACTCTGGACTACATTTGTGTTATAATTACACCAAGTCATCATGGGCCCCAAAGTGCATAGTAAACAGGAAATTTCTCAGATCAAGCAAAAAATTGTGAAAAAGAATGGAGTTAGAATCAGTGCATTGGTATTTATATTATCAAATAAATAGGAGGAATAAAGGCTATTAAAGTGTCAGACAGATATGTGGTAGTGAAAAAAAGTAGAGAAATTATCATAGAGATGGAAAGACTGTTATTGTTGAGGATAAGAGAGAAGCAGATGAAGGGAGATACAGTACCTGCAAGTTATATCTGAATGTGCAAGTCCAAGGTACAATAAAAGTTCTGGGGTCTTGGTACAAATTACCATAAAACCATTTATTTTGGGGTTTGAGTTACACTGGTTTTGAGGTACGATACATCTTCTGAAACAGATTAATATTGAAACTCAAGGGACCGCTGTACTACACCTTCCAAACTGATCATATCTTTGAGTATGACATGACTTTATAAATCATGAACTTAAAAAGTATATAGTATATAATTTTTCTCTTCCAGATAAAGAAACTGGAAGTGAACCTGTATGACCGCTGTATCATTGATCTAATAAGTCGTATGGTAGAAGGCTGTGGAGTGCGGCTCACTACTCTAGAGCTTCACCTAGTTGATGATTGGTTTTTTGTTGCACAGGTATGTAACAGTATATAACTTTAGAAACAGTAATTACAGTACAGGTTGGCCATCACTAATCCAGCAATCAGTTATCCGGTTCCATCAGTTATCCAGTTCCATCAGTAATCCGGCAAAAATTTCAGCTAGCATAATTTCAAATTTCATCATTATACTGACTCAGATTTCTTCATTATACTGACTTAGAAATTGTGCAGATGGTTGTAAATTCACAGCAGCAAGCCAGTGGAGGAGAAAGCAGTGATGAAAATGAGGAAAATGTAGCAGAAAGTCTTTCTATTGATAGGTTAAGTGTATTCTAACCCAACCACTTTGTAATCTGGAACACTACAGGTCCCAATGATGCCAGATTAGTGATGGCTGACCTGTACTATGTGTCTCCTGTGAATACTCCCAAGGATCATCAGAAGATCCTTTGCCCCACATTCAGACCAGGCCTCCTAAATTAAAAAGTACATTCTTCTTCTTCTTGTTGATTCGCCGGTACTTCCGGCCCGGGTCTTCTCCAGATGGTGACCTGGCAGTACATTCTGTATTAAAGGAATAAGAGCTATTAATAAATATGCATGATACAAAAAAATAAGTATTCTGCCAGAGTGCAAAATGTTTTAAACCCATCCCCACTGTCTACCAGTTCTAGTGCCTTCAAATCTGGTGCAAGAAGCCTGGTAGGCCTAGACATGAAAAAATGGATCTGCATATTTTGCAAAAAAATCAAGGCAGCTGCAGTGCATCATGGGAATACCATCTTAGTTTAGCATTGTTCACCATACTGTGTTGCTGCAGTACTCACTCCCAAGAAAATTATGCACCTTTTTCTTAGTGACAGTTCCAACAAGAAAGATATACCGAGGATGAGCTCTGTGGTTTCAAGGATAAAATGATCAAAAGTGACTTTAGTATTATCATTGCTTTTATGTATTAGTGTGAGGCATGGGCTTTAATCCTTTCACTGTCTCTTATATACATCTACTTTATCGACACCAGTGTTGCTCACATAGATCTACATTTTAAGCACAGCTCCTCAGATATACTGTGGGTGGTAAATTTTTGCTTAGACATGAGAGAATGGGTCTGTGTAGTGAGTGTGCATGGTACAAAATAAAAAAATCCTGCCCCCACATGGTGCATGATGGAAAAAGCAAACCTCTGAATTTGAGGTGTTTTCTAGGGTGGATTTTATGGTTCATTGGCTATTTCTTGGAAGACCTACTACTGAAATAGAAATTATTTTGGTTGGTTTCAGGACTGGAAGTAGCTTTAACCCCTTTCATTGGCCATGTCATAGTACTACAGCTTTGTGGTCACTGTTGGTGCTGTAGTAGTAGTATGCCATGAGTTCAGTTCACCTAGCTAAGCATGAGTGGTAAATTTGGGCCTAGATATGAGAGAATGGGTCTTTGCAATAAGTCTTCTTCTCTTTCAACAAACCATCCGTACCCCACCGAAGCAGGGCGACCCAAAAAGAAAAACATAAGTTTCTCTTTTTAACTTTAGTAATGTGTACAGAAGGGGATTACTAGCCCTTTGTTTGCAGTAAGTATACACCATATAAAAAAAATATCCTGCAGCATGCAGTGCATAATGAGAAAAAACTACGATTGTTTTTGGTTAAAACAGCAACTTTGCAGTGTATTTTTGTATGTTTTTTATGGCTGTTTTCTTGGTTTCTTGGTCTCATTTGATAGAGTAAATAAAAAAAATAGAGATAATTTTGATCTGTTCCAGGACTGAAAATAATTTGAAATTGAGCTCAAAGTAGTGGATATGTTAAATTTTCAAAGATTTTTATGATGTGAGACAGAGCTATTGGTCTATAGTTCTTAGCTTTTACTTTGCTGCCACCTTTATGGAGTGGGGCTATATCCATTGCTTTTTAGTGACTAGAATTTCACATGTTTATGCTCCTTCTCCATAGCATACTTAGGGCCCACAAAAGGGGTTTCTTGCAGTTCTTAATAAACACAGAGTTCCATGAATCTGGGCCTGGGGCTGAGTGCATGGACAAGTTGTCAATGAGTTTCTCAGAGTCTAGTGAAGTTAGGGTTCTGTCAGAAATTTAGCATACATTGATAGGGTTTTGAGGCTCATTCATGAAAAAAATATTTGGATTGTCAATCTTTAGACTGATTAGTGGCTCACTGAACAGAGAGTCATATTCATAAAAACATTCTCTACCTGGAGTTTACCATTTCATAAGAAAAATAAAAAAAAATGAAAATTCTTGGACACTGTGGACAAGTTTCAGATCAGGGGTCTGGACAATGAAAGGGTTAAATTGAGCTCAAAGTAGCAGAAATATTAGATTTTTGCCAATATTCCAGCAGACAGGTAGCACTCCCTACAACCCTCAGTCTGTTTTGTGTTTTTTTAATAGGTTTGATTCAGTTATTGGGACACCGTGAACCATGACCAGTCTTTCCTGGGAATATTTTATTATCCGAGAAATAGAGTAACTCTTCTACTTTTGTGTAAATAAGAATTCAAAATGGAAAGCAAGGGTAATATAGGAGAGGCCTGGGGGACATGATTTATGAACAGAGGAAATGTTAGTGCCAGGAATGTCTAATTTGTTAATTATGGACTATTTTTAAATTGGTACTTTTTGTTAATTTTGTGTAAAACTGGCCAAATTACCAACTTCTGTTCACTGTATAGGGTAGTTGAATGAGCAGTTTCTTGTGCTTAGATGATAGAATGGAAGGCATACTTGCAAAATAACTAAGAATTTGGTCATATGAAGCAGTCTAATTGGCTTAAAATAGAGCTCAAATTTTGTGAAATCGCCAGTGCATAAACTGTGCCTGAGTAATTCCATAAGTTTTCCGTCAAATTTTGTGCTTTTGATTTCATTACCTTTAGAACATTCTGTACCACTTCAGAAGACTTTTTTTTTTAAATGTGGACACTGAGATCAGTATTATTTTAGAGGGCTTGGGCAGTGAAAGGGTTAAGAGTAATGTAAATATTATGCAGAGAATTCTGAGAGTAGAATTAGAAGATGTAGGGTTATCAAAGGTATATTTCAGAGGAGTGAGGAGTTGTAGATGAATGGTTCAGAGAACCGACACGTTGATAAATTAGACACATGTGCAAGTCTTGGGTATCTTTATTGAGGAAACGTTTCACCACACAGTGGCTTCATCAGTCCATACAAAGGAGAATCGTGAAGAACAGGAGAAGAATGAGGTAATCAGTCCCTCAACCTTGAGTCGATGTGGTCAGTCCATCAATCTTGAGTAGAATACAGCATATGTGCCGAGAAGTAGCTTATATACCGTAGGCAGGAGAGGTGCAGCAGACGTAGGTGGTGTCACATTTGTTCAATGTGGAAGTAGGTCATGCCCAAGGGTTAGGCAAGCGAAGAATTCCCAAGTATTAAGATCCCAAGAAGTTGCAGTGTCTGACAGGATTGTAGATGAATGGTTCAGAGAACCGACACGTTAATAAATTAGACACGTGCAAGTCTTGGGTATCTTTATTGAGGAAATGTTTTGCCACACAGTGGCTTCATCAGTCCATACAAAGGAGAATGGATCTTGGGATCTTAATACTTGGGAATTCTTCGCTTGCCTAACCCTTGGGCATGACCTACTTCCGCATTGAACAAATGTGACACTACCTACGTCTGCTGCACCTCTCCTGCCTACGGTATATAAGCTACTTCTCGGCACATATGCTGTATTCTATCCTAGATTGATGGACTGACCACATCGACTCAAGGTTGAGGGACTGATTACCTCATTCTTATCCTGTTCTTCACGATTCTCCTTTGTATGGACTGATGAAGCCACTGTGTGGTGAAACATTTCCTCAATAAAGATACCCAAGACTTGCACATGTGTCTAATTTATCAGAGTGAGGAGTTGTTGAGGTGGTTTGGGCATTTACAGTGAATGGAGCAAAATAGGATGATCAAAGAGGATGCATAAATCTAGCATGGAATGAAGGAGGGGTCTGTTATCATTATTTATTATTATTATTTTTCAACATGCTGGCCATCTCCCACCAAGGCAGGATGACCCAAAGAAGAAACAAAAATTTCTCTTCTTTTTAAATTTAGTAACTTATGTAGAAGGGATTACTAGCTCCTTGCTCCCTATTATTATTATTATTATTTATTATTATTATTATTATTATTATTATTATTATTATTATTATTATTATTATTATAAATAGATAAACCCATAAGAGGGTCATACAGCACCACGTGACGGAGTAAAAATAACATTTCAAAGAGGAAGAGGTGCTAAGGAAAGAACATTGGCAAAAAGAAAGTAAACAGTGAGGACGGGGCACCAGTGATGTGGCAGATCTTGAGGTTGTAGTAAATTAAGAATAAATGTCACAGTCAGTGCAGATTATCTGTGAACTAACAAGCATTTATAAAAGAGTCTGCATAAAAGACAAAACTGTGGAGAAGGATTTCTTTTTTTGTAGATGCAGAAGTAGGGTCAGGGGGCAGTGACATCAGTAACAGTGGTAGCAGCAGTGCCAGTGGGTGTGGCACAAGACATAATCTGTTTGTCACAGTTCAGACCAAGTCACATGCTATAAGCCATGATAAATTTTGCCGAAGAAAAAAAATGTCCCTGCTGTTGAATCCAGAGAACTTGTACATAGTATATTTGAAGTCTCTTAACCAGTCAATATTATAACATCATTTTTTCTCCTCATAATAGCAGTCTTAATTTTTTTCACATTGTTTATCATGCTTATAGCAAACTCCAACATTTGGAGATAATGCTATACATTTTTTTTTTATCCCTCAGGCCCACAACGTTGTTGCCAGTTGTTGTCCGAACCTAATTACACTAAACTTCTCTGGAGATTACAAGGTCAGCATCACTACCAGTAGCAGATTAATATCATATTGTTCTGTATATGCAGTACTTATATTTACCAGTAAATACTCAAGAAATATTCCTAATACAGTGGAACCTCAGCTTACGAATGCCCCACCATGCAAATTTTTCAGGATACGAACAGTCACTCGAACTATTTTTTTCTTCTGGATACGAATGAAATTTCAGGATGCGAACTTCCTCTTAAAGGGAGGTTCCTTGGTGAGGGGCTCTTGATCAAGGGAATAGGATCTGTGCTCCACTTCCCTAAATTAACAATAATAATAATAATTATTATTATTATTGTTATAATACATACTAATAATAATACACTGAAGCAGGCCTGTTGGCCCATACTAGGCAGGTCCTTCACAATCCATCCCACTAACGGAATATTTGCTCATCTCAATTTTCAATGCTACCCAAGCAATAAGCTTTGATAATTCTATTTACTCATGTGCAGGTCCCACTCACATCCAACCCCTCTCACTTGTGTATTTTTTTTTTTTAATAAGTCGGCCGTCTCCCACCAAGCCAGGGTGACCCAAAAAGAAAGAAAATCCCCAAAAAGAAAATACTTTCATCATCATTCAACACTTTCACCTCACTCACACATAATCACTGTTTCTGCAGAGGTGCTCAGAATACAACAGTTTAGAAGCATATACATACAAAGATACACAACATATCCCTCCAAACTGCCAATATCCCAAACCCCTCCTTTAAAGTGCAGGCATTGTACTTCCCATTTCCAGGACTCAAGCCCAGCTATATAAAAATAACCGGTTTCCCTGAATCCCTTCACTAAATATTACACTGCTCACACTCCAACAGCTTGTCAGGTCCCAAATACGATTCGTCTCCATTCACTCCTATCTAACACGCTCACGCACGCATGCTGGAAGTCCAAGCCCCTCGCCCACAAAACCTCCTTTACCCTCTCCCTCCAACCTTTTCGAGGACGACCCCTACCCCGCCTTCCTTTCCCTACAGATTTACAGTGGACCCCCACATAACGCTGTTAATCCGTTCCTGAGAGCTCAATGTTATGCGAAATTATCGTTATGCGAATTAATTTTCCCCATAAGAAATAATGGAAATCAAATTAATCCGTGCAAGCCACCCAAAAGTATGAAAAAAAAAATTTTTACCACATGAAATATTAATTTTAATACACACAAACTTAAGAAAACATGCACAGTTACATGACACTTACCTTTATTGAAGATGTGGTGATGATTGATGGGATGGGAGGAGGGGAGACTGGATGGTTTTAGTGTTTAGAAAGGGAATCCCCTTCCATTAGGACTTGAGGTGTCAAGTCCTTTTCCGGGGTTGCTTCCCTTCTTCTTTTAATGCCACTAGGACCAGCTTCAGAGTCACTGGACTTCTGTCGCACAACATATCTGTCCATAGTGGCCTGTACTTCTCGTTCCTTTATGACTTTCCTAAAGTGTTTCACAACAGTGTCAGTGTAATAGTCACCAGCACAGCTTGCAATAGCTGTCTGAGGGTGATTTTCATCCATGAAGGTTTGTACTTCAAGCCACTTTGCACATATTTCCTTAATCTTTGAAGTAGGCAACTTCTTCAATTTCTCTATCCCCTCCTCCGAAGCAATTTCCTCAGGTGTGGCCTCTTGCTGTTGAAGTTGATCTAGCAGCTCATCAGTGGTTAGTTCTTCATTGTCCTCCTCCACCAACTCTTTCACATCCTCCCCACTAATCTCCAACCCCAAGGACTTCCCCAATGCCACAATTGATTCCTCAACTGGCATAGGATTCTCAGGGTTAGCCCCAAATCCTTCAAAATCCCTTTGGTCTACACATTCTGGCCACAGTTTCTTCCAAGCAGAGTTCAAGGTCCTCTTAGTCACTCCCTCCCAAGCCTTACCTATAAGGTTTATACAATTGAGGATATTAAAGTGCTCTCTCCAAAACTCTCTTAGAGTCAATTGAGTTTCTGAGGTCACTACAAAGCACCTTTCAAACAGAGCTTTTGTGTACAGTTTTTTGAAGTTTGCAATAACCTGCTGGTCCATGGGCTGCAGGAGAGGAGTGGTATTAGGAGGCAAAAACTTCACCTTAATGAAGCTCATGTCCCCACAAAGTTGCTCTGCCAAGTCTGTAGGATGACCAGGGGCATTGTCTAACACCAGGAGGCACTTAAGGTCTAATTTCTTTTCAATTAAGTAATTTTTCACAGTGGGGGCAAATGCTTGGTGTAACCAGTCATAGAAAAAGTCCCTAGTGACCCATGCCTTATTGTTTGCCCTCCACAGCACACACAAATTAACCTTGAGGCTATTCTTTTGCCTGAACGCTCTGGGAGTTTCAGAGTGATACACTAATAAAGGCTTCACTTTGCAATCACCACTAGCATTGGCACACATGAGAAGGGTAAGCCTGTCTTTCATAGGCTTATGTCCTGGGAGTGCCTTTTCCTCCTGAGTAATGTAGGTCCTGCTTGGCATTTTCTTCCAAAACAGGCCTGTTTCGTCACAATTAAACACTTGTTCAGGTTTCAGTCCTTCACTGTCTATGTACTCCTTGAATTCCTGCACATATTTTTCAGCTGCTTTTTGGTCCGAACTGGCAGCCTCACCATGCCTTATCACACTATATATGCCACTACGCCTCTTAAATCTCTCAAACCAACCTTTGCTGGCCTTAAATTCACTCGCATCACCACTAGTTGCAGGCATTTTTCTAATTAAATCCTCGTGCAACTTCCTAGCCTTTTCACTTATGAGCGCTTGAGAGATGCTATCGCCTGCTATCTGTTTTTCGTTTATCCACACCAATAACAGTCTCTCAACATCTTCTATCACTTGCGATCTCTGTTTCGAAAGCACATTTAAACCTTTGGCAAGAACAGCTTCCTTGATTGCCATTCTCTTGGACGCAATAGAAGCGATGGTTGATTGGGGTTTACTATACAACCTGGCCAGCTCGGATTATTATTATTATAATCAAAAAGAAGCGCTAAGCCACAAGGACTATACAGCGCTGCAGGGCAGGAAGGAAGCGAGGGCATCAGGTGGCAAAAGGGAGATGGATGAGTAATAGGTTACGGATAACAGCGGGGTAGTGGATGGTGAAAGGATAAAGGGCAGCAAGAGACTGAACTAGAAAGGGGTGGGGGAGTGCGAAAAGTATCATCAGAGTTTGTGGAGTAAATCAGTTGTTGTCAAGAAGTCAATGAGAGAGTCAGGATTAAAGGAGGGTCCATCAGCAAGAAGGGAAGGTAAAGAGAGAGTAGTAGAACGAAGACGACGTTGGAGGTAAATTCTGCATGCTCATTGATAGAGAGGGCAGTCTAACAGAATGGCCAGCTCGGAGACACACACTCCACTTTCATACTTAGCAATGATCTCTTTCTTCATCTCCATAGTAATTCTCACCCTTATCCCTGTAGGGTTGGCACTAGAAGCTTTCTTGGGGCCCATGGTCACTTATTTTTCAGGTGAAATCACTATAAAAAGGCTGTAATAATACGAAATGTTCCGATTGTATGCTTGAATGTTACCACGGAGGCTGGCTTGTAAACATTGCCACTAGCAGAACAAGTGAGGCTGGCTCAGGCCGCATGGACGTGTCTCGGACGAATCGCGTTGAGCAAATTTTTTAGCTCTATGCGAGGCCAAATTTTAGCGATAAAATGTATCGCTATGTGGATTTAACACTATGCGATGCCAACGTTATGCGGGGATCCACTGTACAGTGGTCCCTCGTTTTTCGTAATTAATCCGTTCCTGGAGGAGCTACTATAAACAAAATTTACGATTTGCGAATCAATTTTCTCCATAAGAAATAATGTAAATACAATTAATCCGTTCAGACACCCAGAAGTATTAAAACAAAAAATTTTTTTACATGAAATATACATGTAGTACATAAACAATACAATGGGAAATGATGAATGAAACATTAACAGCATAACACTTACCTTTATTGGAGATTCTTCTTAGTGTATGGGAGACTGGAGGAGGAGAGAGATTGGATTGTTTACAGTTTGGAAGGGGAATCCCCTTCCAGGAACACCTCAGGTACCAATTGCTTCTCTGGGGTTGCTTCTCTTCTCTGTTTCTTAATGCCACTAGGACCACCTTGAGAGTCACTGGAGTCCTGTCTCGCAAAGTAACTGTGGAGAGAGCTCTGTTTCTGGCGTCTCTTTAACACTTCCCTAAAATGGCCCAAGACTTTGTCACTGTACATATTTCTCACCTTCTTTACCACAGGCTTGGCACTAGGAGCTTTCTTTGGAGCCATGGTAGCTTATTTAGTACTTGCAAGCACTAAAATGAGTGGAATATTATGAAATATTTTGTAGGAGCACTTGACGGGACCTTCACTCACTGGTAAACAATGCCAGACTGGCTGAGTAGGGAGGCCGCCTTGGCTCACACTGTGCGTACGCGTCCCGGACGAACTACTATTCGCGAGTCAACCTATGAAAAGCGAGTCTATGTTTATACGAAAATACCCCTATGATTGGCGAAATTTACAATTGCCGAGAACTACGAAAAGCGAGGGACCACTGTACAGTATATGCTCTCCATGTCATTCTACTTTGATCCAATCTCTCTAAACGACCAAACCACCTCAACAACCCCTCTTCAGCCCTCTGACTAGTACTTTTATTAACTCCACACCTCCTAATTTCTACACTCAAATTTTCTGCATAATATTTACACCACACATTGCCCTTAGACAGGACATCTCCACTGCCTCCAACCGCCTCCTCACTGCAGCATTTACAACCCAAGCTTCACACCCATATAAAAGTGTTGGTACTACTATACTTTCATACATTCCCTTCTTTGCCTCCATAGATAACGTTTTTTGTCTCCACATATACCTCAATGCACCACTCGCCTTTTTTCCTTCATCAGTTCTATGATTAACCTCATCCTTCGTAAATCCATCCGCTGACACATCAACTCCCAAATATCTGAAAACATTCACTTCTTCCATACTCCTCCTCCCCAATTT